ACGAGGTAACATCGATACAACTCTTTTTATTAAGCAATCTAATTCAGGTAATCTTATTACTCAAATTTATGTAGATGACATTATCTTTGGTAGCCCTAACTCACTTCTTTGTGAAGAATTTTCACTATCCATGAAAGGTGAATTTGAAATGAGCATGATGGGAGAACTGACATTCTTTCTTGGACTTCAAATCAAGTAATCCCCTAAAGGAATTTTCATAAGCCAAGCCAAGTATACCAAGGAGCTCATTAAGAAATTTGGGATGGAAAATGCTAAAGCTATTAGCACCTCCAATGAGTCCAACTACCATTCTAGATAAAGACAACAATGAAAAAATGGTTGATGAAACCATGTATAGAGGGATGATTGTATCTCTATTTTATTTAATTGTCAGTCGACCAGATATTATGTTTAGTATTTGTAAATGTGCTGGATTTCAATCATCTCCTAAGGAATCCCATCTTACCGTTGTTAAACGCATTATTAGATATTTAATTGGTACTCCTGAGTTCGGATTATGGTATGATCACTCAAACAATTTTTCTCTGAGAGGCTTTTCAGATGCTGATTTTGTAGGAGAGAAGATTGATAAGAAGAGTACCAGTGGGACATGTCAATTGCTTGGAAATGCATTAGTATCTTGGCATAGCAAGAAATAAAATTGTGTTGCACTATCAACTAATACATAGCTGTTGGAAGCTGCTGTACACAAGTCCTATGGATAATGCACTAACTTCTTGATTATGATTTATCTCTTACTTCTACTCCTATTTTGTGACAATACTAGTGTTATCTACTTACCTAAAAATCCTGTGCATCATTCTAAAGCAAATCATATAGAAATTAAACATCATTTTATCCGTGATCATGTAGAAAAAGGTGATATTACTTTAGAATTCATTAGCACTGATTCTCAACTTGCTGATATTTTTACAAAACCGCTTTTGGAAGAAAGATTCTGCACTCTCCGGAAAAAGATTGGCATTGTGCCAAATTTGTAAATCAAATATTTTCTTAAGTGTTCAAATTATTTTACACGCTTTCAGAATATTTTATTTCCTTAATTATATGTGTTCTAATTAATTTTATGTGGAAGTGCAATTATTACATGTACCGTCGATCAGTCATTTTTGAATCATCACTTCCGTCTGCACTTAACCCTTCCAGTAACCAAGAGGCCTCTTTGCTCATCTAAAACTCCTCGATAAAAACTCTCCATCTCCAACACTTCTCTCATTCACTACCAACCAACTCCTCTCACTATAGCCAAAAGAAATCCCTCATTTGCAACCAGACGCAGTCGAAGGTTTCAAAAACCTCTCAACACTGAAGAACCTATGGATATGGATTCATCAATTGACTCAGGTTTTCTCAGAACTGACAATGATAGCAGCGCCTCATCTGAAAATCATCCTATCAGCCAGAAAAAAGTCGGCAAAAGGCCCATAGAGCAAACCCTCTAAAAGGCTGCATGTAAGAAGGGCAAGGTTGAATATTTGGAGTTTGATCCTGAAGACAAGCTAATCTTCTATGGCCCTAGTGAAAAGGCGAGGTTTGAGTCCTACAAGTCAAAATCCATGGCTTATGGACGCTTTGTAAGTCTCTCTCTTATAAAAAGCCTTCATTGCGATGTGATTGCAATTTTCGATTTTCAGCACCTTTTCCCTGTATTTGACACTCTTGAAAATACTGTGTATGAAGAATCTGTGCGAATATTTTATGCAAATATGTTTGTAAATGATAAAGATGATTCGGAATCTATGGTTATAGGGACTAGAATTGTTTTGGACTCCTACCAATTTGAAAAGATCTTTTCTGCTAAGTTTAGTGGGTATGATGTGTTTATCCAAAATTCTTGGCCCAAAGACTTTGAAGTGTCCTTTGATGAAGCAAAACGTTTTCTGTCTGATAACCCTCCTGACACTGATCTTAAATTTGAACACCGTGTCTTGGCCCATTTAATTGCCACCACTCTCATTCCCAGATCTAGGTCCCTTAGTTCCCTGTCCATTAGAGATATTTTTGTCCTTTATTGTCTGGTTAATAATAAGCTTCTTGATTGGTTTGTGTGGATTCGTCAGTATATACTTGAGAGTATAAGGGATATTTCCTCTTCTGCTGCATGCCTGCCCTATGGTCTTCTTATCTCTCATATTCTGGAAGTTATGAAAGTAGACTTGACACCCTTTTCATCCAAGCACATCTCCAGTACCTATGATAAGACTGCTTTTTCTATGATGGGGTACACTCTAGGTAATAATGGATGGGTTAAGCGAGCCAAGGTTGAAAGTGCTCCAACTCTTGTTGATATCCCGATTGATCAACCAGCTTCTCAGTCGACTACCTCCCTGAATCTTCAACAAATTCAACACTACCTTGATGGATCCAATCTGCTGCTTGTAGAGATGAAAGAACAAGTAGATAAGATCAAGGATGTCATGAAGGAGGCAGGTACAGATGTGGCCAAGCTTCGGATTGACATAGGAGCTACAAGGAGACAAGGATTTCAATTCCATGAGTGAAAAGATGGACAAACTCATCAAGGATGCTGAGAATTCGTACGACTCCTTGTGCACCAAAGTAATCAACACCCTCAAATACTTTTTGGGACGAAGTTAATTTCTCTAATTGTGATGTTATGACAAACAATTTCTTTTTGCTTATGTTTTTTGTTGGTGGTTGCTTTTAAACAATTCTTTTTTGGACTGTACTAACTAAGCCTCTACTGAAGGCTCTACTGCTCTAACCACCTTATCAGTATATGCATTATGTTCTATTTTGCTCTTTGTATGTCTCTTTCCTTTTTGATTGATGTCAAAGGAGGTGAAAAATGTGATTAAACAACTCAGGAGGGAATATAGGAACATCATAATCTCAAGGGAAGCATCAGCTCAGGGGGAGCAACTAACTCAGGGGGAGCAATTCCTTAAAAGGAAAGTATTTTAATTTACTTTACTTTGTTTACTCCTTCTTGATTGTCATCATCAAAAAGAGGGAGATTGATAGGTTTAAGTTTAAGTTTCAATGATGACAATATTATCTTATGTTATATTTACAGGACAAACAAAAAGGAAAGAATGAAGATGCTCAGCAAGATTGCTGCTGGATTCAAAATAGCAAGTAAGAAAAGAATGAAGATGTTGTTACTACATTAATAATCAATCAAAAGAAGTAGATTGACTCGTCCTCAATCAAGGGAACTCAGATTCCAATCATGGATCCTCTAATTAAGAAGATCACGCTCGTGAATTAAACTCTCCCGGCGTAAACGTCTCCTTGAATTCAGCTGTGACAAGAAAGGTCACATTTGAATCTGGGCTAGTCAAAGAGCAAGATTCGAAGAGGCACCTCTTGGGTCAAATCCCTTAATTAAAGATCTTGTGCCTCTGATTTCGCAAAAGACCCAACGACTCTTTTCTCTCCTATAAGAAGGCTGATCCCTCAAGAAGAAGAGTGTGCAACTACACACATTGTATTCTAAGTCTATCTACTTCTTAGTTCAAACACTGTAATCCTTAGTTATCAGTGTGTCAAAAGATAGGGAGATCTAGAACACAAAAGAGAGTTGTGTCAACTATTCTGAACTTAAGTGTTGATACTATTCGTTGGTGGTGAACACGGTAAAACCATCTGTATTGTAATTTATTCAAAGATCTTAAGGGAACCCTTGTGACCCAAGGGAAACTGGATGTAAGTACCACAACGATCCCGAACCAATATAAATCGCTGTGTGTTATTTAATGTTCTTTACTGCTTACTTTCATTCTGAGCCGTGGTTAGTAAACTAATACTTGTGTTAGTCGACTAAATTTTAAATAGTCAACAATTCTCCCTCCTCTTGTACTTTCAGTTATCTTAAGGATTCATAAGGCAGAACTTGAACAATTTCAACCTCATTCTTCTCCGTGACTGTGAAGTACCTAGCTGCTAACTGAGAAGGTCTCTCAATAGAACCTGTCATTGACACTTCCCTTTTTTGGAGAATGTAATTGACACTTTCTTTCTATCACACAAGAATTATTTAGAAGGAAGAATATATTTTCCAAGGTTGACATTCTTTTAATTCCGTCCGCTTTGTATGTGAATATTTACCAAAATAAGATACGAAACTTACAAAACAATTTACTTACGACTATGCTTAGAGATTGATGATGCAACTAAAGCTACAGAAGAGAAGCAAGAAAAAACAGAAGATGGCTTCAGGTACTCAAATAATTGCAACCCCTGCGCGGACTAACATGTTAAAGTCAAGGGAGAAAATGTGAAAAAGACCAAAATTGTAAGTAATTAACTAATATGTCTGACTTTCATCCTTTCGACAAATTGTTTATTACTTCATGGTTGCTTCCTAAGCTAACTGCAAGGAAAAGAGCTTCTAGTTTCGAAGTATCAAAGTTGCAGCAACTGAAATTGCACAACTTTAAAATTCAACTATTCAACCACCGAAAAGCAATTATCTTTAAACTGTCAAAAGTTCAAATCACATTGTAAAGATCATTGATCACGATAAAAGTTCATTTCAACTTTAAAACTTATCTTCTTATTTTTCTATGTTTCCAGAATTAATCCTGATCTGGTCTTTCCCAATTTCATATCTGAGGTAATTTGTATGACGAGTCTTTTTAGGGTTGTTCTTTATGTGGAGTCTCTCATTTCAAAAAGTCAAGGTTCAAGAATTAGGTAGTTTATTAAACTGGGGTATTATTACTATTGGGTGCAGGATTACACTTCAAAGTCTGCTGCCAAACAAGGTCTATATAAGCTGTGTACTCCCTTGTTCCTTTTTTCACAATGTGAAAAATAGGGAGCAAGGTGGTTGATCTCCCGTCTTGTTGATGAAAAAAATAGGTTATGTGGTGTCACGATTCCGAATTCCCACCTTCGGAACCGTGATAGCGCCTAACATTTCACTTACTAGGCAAGCCAACGTTAGAAGATTCTTAAGTCAACTTCAGTCAATTTTAATAACAGAAATAATTAATCTAAACAGAAGCTAAAACTGAGTCTGCGGAATAACATAAATCTCATAATAACTAATCCAATTCGGATTTGGTGTCACGATTCACGAGCTTCTAAGATTTACTACAAACAAAGTCTAAAAGAAAATACAATTGTTCTGAAAGAAAGGAAGTAGTATAATAAAGAAACTAGGAAGGGACTCCAGGGTCTGCGGACGCCAGCAGATCTACCTTGGGTCTCCGACAAGCAAGTCCAGCTGCTAACCTCACAATCATCTAGGGCCGATCCCAAAATCTGCACAAGAAGTGCAAAGTATAGTATGAGTACAACCAACCCTATGTACTCGTAACTGTCAAGCCTAACCTCGACGAAGTAATGACGAGACTCTAACAAGACACCTACATATTAAACCTGTGCAGATAATAGTAAATGTATAAAATAACAACAAATAAGAGCTAGACGAGTAATATCGGGAGGGGGACATGCTAAAGGGGGATACAAGATATGAGAATTTCAACAGAAATGATAACTAGGACAATTAATATGCCTTTGATCGGTGAAAATAATTAAACACAGTAAGAAAAAGTGTACTGCATCACCCTTCATGCTTTTACTCTCAACCTCACAATATAAATCAATAGATATGACACGACATCACCCTTCATGCATTAACTCTCATAACATAGCACGACATCACTCTTCGTGCATTAACACTTACAATATGGCACGGCATCACCCTTCGTGCATTAACACTCACAATATGGCACGACATCACCCTTCGTACATTAACATTCACAATATGGCACGACATCACCTTTCGTGCATTAACACTCTCCCTTACCATAAAGCAATGAACAACTAACAACAGGGAGATAGAATAACAAGAACAAGCCTTCAACATTTGGTTCCACAAAACCAACTTCAACTTTGAAATCAATACTCAATTATTACCAAAAATCCGTAAATATGATAAGAATGATCAATCTAACAATAACTAGTCTAAACATGGATAACATGATCAAAGAAGCAATATTTACAAGGGATCAAGTCCCACCCGCATGCTTTAACTCGACAACAACGCATAAGTACTCGTCACCTTATATATGCGTAGTACCTAACATCTAAACATGTAGCAAATAGACAAACAAGTCCTATTCCCTCAAGTCAAGGTTAACCACGACACTTACCTCGCTCCAAGGACCAACTCAAGGCTCAACCACCGCTTTGCCTTTCAAACAAACCTCCGAACCAATAGAATCTAGCAAATTACCAACCAAACGATTCGAATTAAGCCTTAGGAACTACCCATAATTGCAAAGAATTCAATTTAGGTCATTATTGAAAAAGTCAACAAAAGTCAACACCCGAGCTCGCTTGGTCCAAACCCGAAATTCGGACCAAAACCCGATTACCCATTCACCCCCGAGCCCGATTATATAATTTATTTTGGAATCCGACCTTAATTTGAGGTCTAAATCCTCATTTTTCAGAAATCCCTAATTCTACCCAAAACCCCTCAATTTTCACCATGAAAACTTTAGATTTTAGGTTGAAATCTTTGGAAAAGTAGTGAAAGATTGAAAGAAACTAGTTTAGAATAACTTAGCAATGATTTGGGGAAGAAAGGTTCTTTGGAAAATCGCCTCTAGGGTTTCTTGTTTTGAAAATTTGAAGAATGAACCAAAAATCCGGTCTAAGTCCCATTTGGATCAGTTGCAGAAGTCACATTTGCGACCTGGCGAACCACGTAAATGCGAAGGAACCATCGCAAATGCAAAGTCCTTCCCATCTCTGTTTTATTCGTAAATGCGAAGAATAGTTCGCAAATGCGAACTCTGACCCTTTCGCAATTGCGACTATTTGATCGCAATTGCGATGACTGCTTACCCAGTCCCACTTCGCAAATGCGAAGTTTTGTTCGCAAATGCGAACTCTGGCGTCCCCAACTACTCTTCATAAATGCAATGAGTAGCTCGCAAATGCGAATCCATCAGTGGTCGCAAATGCGAAGCTTGACCTCGCAATTGCGAGGCTTGAAGCCTGCAACGAAAACTGAAGCACAACAGCAATATTCTAAGTCAAAATTTCACTCCGTAGCCTATCCGAAACTCACCCGAGCCCTCCGGGTTCCAAACCAAACGTGCACACAAGTCTAAAAACATCATACGAACTTGTTCACGCAATCAAATTGCTAAAATAACACCTAGAACTACGAATTGAACACCAAATCAAATGAAATTTTCAAGAAAATTTTGAAACTTCTATTTTTACAACCGGACGTCTGAATCACGTCAAACCAACTCCGTTTCTCACCAAATTTCACAAACAAGTCATAAATATAGTATTGGACCTATATCGGATTTCAGAACTAAAATACGAACCCGGTATCAAAAAAGTCAACCATTGGTCAAACATTTCAAATTCATTAGGTCTTTACTTTCAAATTTCAACAAAGTCCGATAACTCGTGCTAGGGACTTCCGAATTCGATTCTGGGCATATGCTCAAATCCCAAATCACGATACGGACCCATTGGGATGGTCAAAATACGAATCCGGGTCCGTTTGCTCAAAACGTTGACCGAAGTCAACTCAAATGGATTTTAAGCCAAAATTTTCATATTTTCTTAGTTTTTTTACATAAAAGCTTTCCGGAAACACGCCCGGACTGCGCAAGTAAATCGAGGAGGGCTAAAATGAGATATTAAAGGCTTCAAAGCGCAGGATTAGGTTCTAAAATATAAGATGACCTATCGGGTCGTCACACGTGGTCTAATCTTATATCAACTGATCATATTCTTTTGTGAATAATGTTTTAATTCGACAAATCTTTGCCTTCTTTCAAGATGAGAAAGGTTATATTACTCTTTGCATCCTTATTTTGGGGGTAAGCAAATTCTAGATGATATTCTGGAGATCTCTTCCACTTTTTACCTTTTCCATAGCCATTTATTTAAAGTTTATAGCCCCAGGAGGACCCCCGACTCTTGTGAAATGCGTTTGCTTCTCTTTCTCAATATTGAACCTATACAAAACTATCAACTCAGCCAGTATCTGATGTGAGGTCCAATGTGGATGCCCATCCAATTCGTGTGTCTGCCCATAAATAATATTGTAGTAATATTTGATTGTCTCATTGTTATCCCAACAATCTAAAGAAACTATTTCTAAGAAACTATTTCAGCCATGAGCCATGTGAAAGTTTTCCTAGGAATACACAAGCCTTCCTCAATTCTATTATTAAAACAGTTTTTTAATAATATTTATGTTGATATTTACTATTAACAAATAAATTTGGTCCAAAAAATTAATCAATCAATCATTTGACCAAATCGAATCCGAAGCGGAAGCGGATGCCGAGCCGAGCGAGCGACGACGACGACGGCGCGAGGCTTACCTTCTTCTCAACTCTTTAAGAGCTAGAAGACGAGCAAATACTTATATACCCATCAAAAACCTCTTCCTCTTTCAATATGGGACAATGTCCCTTCGTCGGGGGGGGCTTAAAATTTCATTTCCCTCCATTTCTCATTCACCCTCTTTTAAATATTTAATATAGCTTAAAAACCCAACACCCCATGCGTGAATAAGTGATGAGCGTGCCTAGTTATCATGAGAGCTGTAGAGGCTTGGCAAAATTCCCGTAGGAGCGTTCCCATTCGATTCTCATATAGGTGAATTCATCAGATGTGTATTGTTTTAACTATATCATCCTTAATGAATATGAATTCATGAAAAATTATAATTTATTCCTTCAATTAATAGCAGTTAAGCAGTCACCTTTTTTGTGCTTGAATATCAATATTGACTTGTTATTTCATATATGAACCTATTTTATGGAATCTCCAATCACATCGGTAGGGTTACCATAGCCTAAGCATATCTCTTTCGAGATTTGACAAATTAATTTTCTTCATATATATTTTTTCGGTGGATTCTATCTTACAAGAAAGAATTATTGGTTCACAAAAATAATATATTTCACACGTAATTTTGTAAGTCAACTTTTATCGGTCCAAGTTGATTCATAGTTCAAAAGATACCAAATCAATTACATTGGGCCACATAAATCCGGCAAGTCTTACTCTTCTATTCTTTACCCTTTTATTTCTAAAAATATTTTGAAGTAGGTGGGGGATTGTTGGCAAAATAAAATTGATATTTTAAAAGATTGGCAAGAATAGCTTGGCGGATACTTATAACTGTTTACGTTTGTCATTGTGGTCCCTATACTTAAAGAAGTTTCATTTAAACACTTATAGTTGCTCAAAGTCAATGTTTTAAACCCCTCTGACCATTAACAAAATCTGCGTGGCAACTTAAATGCTCAACTAAACAAAATCGTGTATGCGTATAAAGAGCGTGAACATAAAAATTTTATGAATAAAATAAGTAAAAAAGAAAAAGACAAAAAAAATCAAATTAGAAAAAGAAAGAAAAGGTCAAAGACGTATTTTTTTCTCTTTCTCTTACGTTCTGCCGCCCACCAAACCTCCCCCCGTATCTCCCTCCCTTCTTCACGTTACTCCTCTTCCCCCATTATAACTCAAAACCCACAGCAAAAGAGCCCTTCCCACCACGTATTCATCCAAACAATGACATTCCTCGTCGCCACAGATCCAAAACCTCTACCAGATTGGCAGCAATTTTTGAACAAATTTTTTTCTTACATCCCCATTCTCCTACTTTGGAAGGCAGCGTTTGCAAAGAAAAGAAATAGAAATAGTGGAAGAAGATCGCCGGTAAAACCTATTTCCGGTTAGTTTTCCTGTAGCGAAATTTCAAAAAGTTTTCCTGTAGCGAATTTCCTGTAGCGAAATTCCCTTGCTCCACTAAATAGTCACTTTATGCACCTAAAATTTTAAAGGAGGAAATCCAAATATACCAGACTCGATGTGTCAGCATCGAGCCATCTTCAAGTCAAACACATTTCAACGGAATAACAAGAAGAGGGAACAAGGGAAAACAAGACAATTAATTCTACTTTTTGCGTTTCAATTTAGATTATGTAATTTTTTGGCACAAAATTTAAGAATACAAAAAAACTTTTCATATATGTGATGCTAAAAGCTTAAGGGGCAAAATCTTAGTGGAGGTCATAATATTTGTGTAGCTATAAAAGTTTCTCATTAAGGGTAAAGTGGGTTGAATAAAAAATTTAAAGTTAAATTGTTTCGAAATATAGAAATATTTTATTTTTTTTGGAACAGATTAAGAAGAAAAATGTGTCATCTAAATTGAAATAGGGGGAGTATTACTTATCTTGTCTTGCAGTTGAAACCGGAATAGTTCAAGTAGAGATCACACTTACATCATCCAACAACATACGGTCGCCGTGATGATCAATGTTAGGTACAATCTGCATCAACAAAGTAAAATCATCAGATAAAGCAAAAAGAAGTTTCCCTCAACATTAGCAAACAAGAAATTAGCACATATCTTATTGAATTTTAGGGCTGAGGAAACACAGGAACACTAAAGGGAGAAACTTAGCAGTGTTCTAGATGTGGACTGCTGTATTTTTGCCGTAGTGCAATCTCACATCTGCTTAGTTGGCATCAACAACTAAATCATGAACTTAGAAATATTATTTATTTATTGAGTAACAATGTGAGAAGGAGACTATACAACTGCAATTGATAGTAATCAAAAGGCAATGAAAGAAGAAATAGCTCAGCTCTTACAAATATACACACAACCAGAAACAGCTACCAATTTGCCAGTTTGTTTGAGTACTTCGATGCAGAGATATCTATATTTACAAAGAAGGGGGAGATACAAAAGATATAATTCTTACATCACAAGGCAAAATGTACAAATCCTACAGAGGGTGCAGGCATAGTAACAGCATTTGGCTCGAGATGTATATACTGGTAAGTATATATATATATGTATGTATATATGTATGCATATATATATATATATATATATATATATATATATATATATATGTATTAATATTAAGTCTGCACTCACGGACACAAAAAAAGTTATTGGATCAGTGGTACTCCAAAGTCACAAATTTAAGATTCTGGATTCACCTTTACATGGATAAAAAGTAAAAGTCAAATAAAGAAAAAAGAGTTAAGAGAAAGCATTCTCATCACAAAGAATCTTTGTACTTACCAATAGAAAATCTGAAATGAAATTGACATTAAGACACAAAAAGAGCATGTGGATGGTCCTCTACTGCAGCAGATTCTAGTAAACAGAGATGCAACAACCCCAATTGCAATGAAAATTAGACTTGTCACTACGAACCCCATGTTTCTTGGATCTCACCAACAATCTCCAATGCTCTCTTATTTCCTGCAACCACTGCCACAACCAGAAAATTGAGCCCTCATAATTTCACAGCCAGTGCACAAAAACAAAACAAAAAAACCAAACTAACAACGAAACTAAGCAGTCTACGCCTCAATCACAGATTAGTTGGTGTCAACTATATGAATTCTTTCTCTATAACAGTGGTGTTGGAGCGAACTTGTGTACACCTAATACTATTCCACCGGGTACTTGGTACCTCCCACCAACACAGATACCGGGTAACTCTACCCATCAAAGACTTGGGCAGATAGAAGAAATCACCTTATTATCCATTTCAATATATTTTAGCCCCTTTCATCCAAAAAAATTCTTTTAAGAGCAAAACAAAAATAAAACAACGGACACCTAGAAAGCTCATCTTATGATGGTGATTGAAAAATTACGTTCTTCAAATTCTAAGCCTAAAATGGAAGTACTCATATTAACAAAAACTTAAAATTATAACAGGTAAATGTGACATATCTATATTTATATATTAATTGATAGATAAATTAAATAAAACATGCAAAAATACTTGCAACTACTTACAGTTGTGGAGATAGAAAGAGGAAAGGTTGAAGCAAATGAATCTGGAGTTGGTTTATGGATCAGAACTGTGATCAAATTATTCTATTGAGGTCATATTCAGAAATTTTAGGATTTCAAGGGTGATAAAGTGCAGTTTTACTTGATCCACAAAGTTCCTAAGTAAGTGTAATGAGACCCCGTTAGTTTCATAAATTGTAAATATACCCGTTGTGTTACCAGTAAATTGTTGGTCCCACTGAAGACTTGAGAGTAGTTAACAAGAACTGTACGACTCCGACTGAATTTACTCTTTGTTATGTGAAGAAAACTGATAATGAATAAAATGTTAGTTGAATGACAACGAAGAGCATATAATGTTTTAAACTGATTATTGTTGAGCATAGGTGAAATTCATGAATTGATACTGTTAAAAGATAGATTGTACTTTTATGTGCTTCTCAATATACGAACAAGAGGTAGAAAAGTTTATCGCAACATAATAGAATGGAGGGTGCCTACAAACTGTAGGAAGAAATAGAGACTAATTTTAGGAATTTTTCTGATAATATCATTCACTATTCAGTCATGTGTTTATACAAGGAGAGGTGTTAACTAGAAGGCAATTCGTAAGAAACTCGGAGAAATAGGACAGTTTGATAGTAGATCGGATCAGCATGGTAATGGTTATTAATCGGTTCTTTTGGTTCTAATGATGTGGTGAGAGACATGTGTTTTGTGGCAATACTCTTGGGCTTGGCGACCTGCGTGACTTTGTTGAGTTAGAGAGATTCAACTCTGATGGCTTGGTTATGTGCATATGGATTTCGTAGAGTTCTCGATGATTTCTACCACAGTTTGAGACCTAATGGAACCATCGAAACTCCGGTCCGGGGTCAAATACACAAAAGCCAAACTTGGTCAACGCCTCCAACTTAAAGCTTCAAACATGAAATTCATTCTTCCAAATCAATTCCAAATAACCTGAAAATCAAAACCGACGATTCACACAAATCATAATGCATCATACGAAGCTACTCATGCCCTCAAACCACCGAGTGAAGTGTAAATACTCAAAATGATCGGTCGGGTCGTTACATTCCTCCACTTAAACATACATTCGTCCTCAAATGTGCCAAGAGTCGTTCCAAAGCCATCAAAATCATTGTAACTCACCTTGCACATACCCAAGCGTGATCCTACGTCATCCTAATCCATATAAGCCTAACGACACAACCTAACTGAAGATCCTTAATTCAACCTTAGCCCATAAACCTTGGAACCCAATTTCCAACATCTGGAATTCCTTACAAGATTCGAATCTCACACCTACACACGGTATAAGTCTGAACAAGCTGTATCAAGTCATATCCATAACCCAAGATGTAATCATATGATATACCACACAACTCAGACGCTCACAGTAATAACTTTTGACCACAGTAGTTGCCCAAAACACACCCGGTATCGGTAACAAACCTCATATCAAACAAAACCTTACTCTAGAACCTTGTACACTGACGATAATAAAAGAAACATACATAAACTCATAAGCACTCATCAGAACACCAAGTCACAGAGCCCTCTCTCGTCCGACAAGAACCAAAGCCAAATCCTAAGCTGGCTTCCGATATTATTCCTCCATACGTACTGTAATCAAATCCGATAGTACCTATTCTAGGTCCAATGACATCATCTCATCAAACACAACCATTCTAGTGACAAGCCACATTAATACAACCTAAAGCCACAAACCGTGCAATCCGTACACCAATAAGCAACAATTCAAATGCACCCAAAACTGGAAAATGATTCAAATGAGAGAACCATCGCGCAAGCTCAACAAGTACCACCACAACGCAATGCTAAGAACCCATCACACACAGTAGAACCAAAACACACGAATATATCACAAAGGATCATATCCCATCATAACTCAGCTGCAATACGTGACCCATCCAAACACCGATCCATATGAAATACCTTGAGCCCCAATGCTCAAAATCAACAACCATAAGAAATTTGACACCAAGTACACAAATGCATAACCATAACTATGGAGAAGCGAATAACACTTTGTACTATAGCCCGAAAAGAACATAACCAAGGCGCAATCAACCATTCAACACCCTAACAACCATCTCGTTCAAATTCCGCTACACGACCCAAATAGACTCGCACCATATGTACATATGACCAACAAATCACAAATCCTCATAGCATAGAAGAGTATTACCTAGAACATACCAGATACGAATGAGATCAACTCTAACTAAATGACACATCCCTCAACAATAGCAGTACGGAGTCAACCAATCCGACCCGGTGTAGTATACACATCCTCATTGGGCCTATCAATGGGCCCCAAATCAACTCTGGTCATCCATAGATAGATAAGTAACCCTCCAAAAGTCCATAATGACCTAACCATGACACATACTTTCATCTGGCTAGCTTTGGCCCCATTTTCATAGTCCACAACCACGAAACAGACTGCTTCTGAGAACTCCTAGTCTCCAAATCCATAGAACACACGAATCACCATATCTCATCCCAACTCCACCACCCGAATGTCTTACACATCTCTCATACATGATCATCCTAAAAGGAATGCTTCTATAATTCTTCCGTGCCACGTAGAAAATCTGAATATCAGCAGTTGATCAACCAGGCGAGCACCGCAATACCAACGGAGCATCCGTAAGTCAAAGCTCAGTGCGCCTTCTGAATGTACACTCTTCTCAGGTAATACCAAATAGTGTCAACATTTTCCTTACCATCTAAAATTGTTTGTGCGACATAAACTCATGACCTTCCTTTTGAAACTGATTTGTATACTTGCACATGCAAATCCTAATCTCACACCAGGCACCGCCTTTATTAGGCCATCATATGAAAACACAAATCTTATTATCAACTCTGAGTCACAAGCAGATTACATACTCAAGTAGCCAAGAACCTTTCACTTGATCCCATCTAGTAGAAAATCATGCTAGGCAACATGCTCCTCATGCCGGTAGAAAATATCCATCTCAAACCGTGGTAGAAACCACCGAGGACTCTTCGAAACCCATTTGCACATAACCAAGCCCTCAGAACTGGATTCCTCTAACTCAACCAAGCCATGCAGGTCGCCAATCCCAAGAGTATTGCCCCAAAACACCTGTAGAGACTCACCACATCATAACTACCCAAGGAATTGATCATATCCATTACCGTGCTGATCCAACCTACTACTAAGCTATCCTATTTCTCCGAGTTCCTTCCGAATTACCCTCAAGTTGACACTTCTCCTTGCCAGACCACCACGATCCTTACCCCAAGCTCACCACAAGAGATCCTAGCATAAACCACACTGCCCTAAGGCCGTAAGTAGTTGTGTTTCCTTCTTAAGCACCCCATAAGTACCACAACCGAGACACCCACTTTGAAGAGACCTTCTGTGAACCTAAAGTCGTTTCTTTCACCTTTGTGATACTAAAATGTAGAATCTATAATGATATAGAAATACCGAGAATCTCGACACCATCCTATGTAAATCTCAGATTCTAACCATATTCAAATCCAAAAAATTCTCAAATGCCACATATGAATTTAGAACCTTCTAGAGAGTCACCCACTCTGCTCAAATTTCAACTGCACCGACCAAACAGGCCGAACGACATGTGTCCCATTAGCACAACAACACCCCAAAAGTAACCCTGCGTTAACGCAACCGGGTAAATTCCTACTCCATGCGCACTACATCCTTCACAAATAACAACTCAATCATTCCATGATTCCCATATATTCATAAAATGTAATTGCATCAAGAAATTCCTTACCAAAGTCACCTTCAAAATCCGCTTATATAAGTCATAACCGATCCCCAAGTATGCCTCAGACCGAAACCAATACAACAAATAACCATGCAATCAAATCACCGATGGTAGACTCCCCCACTTAGCTCAAAGTCATAGAATAAAACATCTGATAACTCAAAATGACCATACTCTATAACTGCCATAATACCGTAGTGAGATTCAACTGAATCCTTCATAAGCTCATGTAGGACAAACCATATAATACCTCAAATCATATGCTAAGCTCGCATTCATCCTTGTGATAGTCACGTCGACTTCCTCAATCAGTCCAAACTCAAACCACAACACCTATACCCACTGTGAGCATGTTATTTTTGCCATAGACGAAATACTCCTACAGAATCCCAAGGAAATAGATTTTTCTTTTAATTATTTGCCATTTTAGGAATTTTTTGTAGAGTTTTCTTAATAATTTGCATTTTTCTGTGCATGTTTAATTTTTATTTAAATCATGAAAATACAAAAATACTCTGCATTTGCATTTAGGATTTATTTTTATATTTTTAGGTTAATTAGTAAATTAGTTGTTTTATAAAAATGAAAAAATCACAAAAAAGACTCACTTTGCATTTTTAACCTTGTAATTTTAAATTTTGTAGTTCTTCTTTTAATTTAGGAGTTAATTAATTTTTGTAAATACTATGGTGAGTAATTAGCTTAATTTTGTAAATTATTTTAATTTAAGAGTTAATTTGGTTTGTTAATTAATTTGAAAAGGAAAAAAGAAAAAATTGGAAATTGAAAAAAAAAGGAAAAGAGGATCAGAAAAGCTGTTTAGAGCCAATTCAACAGGCCCAAACGAATTCTAAGCCCAAAACCCAGTCCCACACACGGTCCAAGTTTTCGGTCAATGAGAACTTTGAAACGACGTAGTATGAGGTAATACTACGTCGTTTTGAGTTCGATTGGGTTAAGTTAATCCTGGCCCCCCGTTTCATCTCATCCAACGGCCTTGAAATTTTCCCCCATTTTACTTAAAATTGTCCAAACATTTCAGATCTTCACTTCACTTCCTCACCTAGTTCTCTCTGTAAACCTTAGACCAGCCGCCTTAAATCTCTTCACCATCTCCGGCCGACGGCGGAGACCAATCGACCCCAAATCATTACCACATAACTATCACCCACACCTGATTCCCAATCCACCACCACATCTCCTCAAATCCTCACCAAATCGGACCAGTTTTGGATCTAAAAAAAGAAGAAGAAAAAAGAATAATCTCCCAAGTCCTCGAGCTTCGAAGAACGATTAGG